TTAAACATGCCACTAAGGTAAATAATCTTAGTGGCGAAGATGAAACCCAGTAGTGACGCTCTGTCGAGGTGTACTAAGTTTAGGTGATCCATGCAGTTAAAGTTTTTAATCATCTGCTATTCACACATATCCTTATGTGGCTTTGAAACAGAGATGATCCACAAAGTCCTCAAAGGACAAATTATGGAAACAGCTGCAATTAGTGTCTGATTTATATATTGTGGTAAGACCTTAGAGACTAATTAAAGGCCTTTGTGTTCTTGTCTATTGGAGACATGCTAATTTAAAGCCTTTTGACTGTGATTCACGAGGAACAAAATCAGAAATTCATGCATCTCAATTCATGCACGCCCACTACGAAAAAGAACACTCAGCGTAGTTGTTTAAAGGGGCCTAGTAAACATCCAATCTCTGCATCATTAGACCAGAATCTCCTATGATGCTAAAAGGAACAGCTTTGCCTTTATTTGATGGCTTTGCAGGAGGTCTACTGCATACAGCCCTCCGTATTGTGCTTATGGCAGATATCTGGAGAAAGGCGGAGCAAATTATCTGCAGGATTTTCCTCCCAAGAAGCGGGATTCCTAGTGTTTATTAAATTTTTTAGAGTGCTTCTGAGCAATGCACATTTTATCCTCTTAACAGTCAAATTACTATATACTACAGCAATTACTTAATGTACTCTAATGAGATTTCGCCATGAAATGGAAGGATTCATTTATTTTAATGTGACGCATTCCACTGGGCAGGTTTATGCATCACATCCCCCTTGTGATCCAGAGGAGGATTTGAGTCATAAATAGTAAGATGAGCTTGGCTTCCAGGTTTTCCATTTCCCCCACAGCAACTGAGGTATATGACTCTGTGATCCAGGCACACAGGATCTGTTCAGGGGCATCAGCAGGTCACTGTCACCGTTCTGAAGCTTAGCTCTCTTCAACCAGACATTTTCTGGGATTAGTAAAATAATACCACCCTGACAGGTAGTGTTAATATCATGGACCATGGACCATGGAGGTGCAAAATCCACCACACAACTAAAACACAAAGATGATGCAGCGTTTCTTCTCATTGCAAAATAAACATTTTTAGATTTTCATAATCCTAAGGCATCTAACATGAACAGGAATTACATTTGTACCCTGTTTTATACAACATGGACGTGTGTGCTTCTTAGAGTAATAATGCTGAATAAAAATATCATGTTTTCATGACATGATGCTGCTTAAAAAGTATGTTGCCGGTAGCTTGAAACTCACGTAATTGACTACCAGAAATGTTTCCAAACACCCAAATAGATCTGTCTTATAAAAAAGGAGGATATCAGCAGCTTTTATCTGACAACTTACTTGCAATGTGCTGCAACAAGTTTTTGCAGGGGCTTCTACATTATGTCTTCCTTCTCCCAGCACTTTCTAGAAACAACCAATCAGTAGCAAGAGGCGGGTTTTAGCGCTGTCAATCACAATCTCGTGGCTGCTCATCCTCCTTTCCTTCTGCTCTGTGCTATGCTGCAGCTAATGCAGCCTGTTGTAAAAACTCAGTCTAGTTAGCATAGATACCAATGTTGGCAGATAAACAATTTTCCTGTAACAATAAGTTGTTTCTCCAACATTATGAGTGAATTAAGTTGACTGACAACACTAAGACCCTCCTCTTAGTTCTGATTGGTTGTTTTTGGTCAGAACTGTGGATTACTTTAGCTAGTTATAGAAATTCAGGGAGGAGATGGAAGGGATTGAATGTTTTCAGAGGCTGTCTCATAACAAACTGTAACAACATGGTGACAATTTTGACAATTATGGAAAATTCATATTTTTTATTAAAGTTATATATTGTAGCTTGAATAAAATGCAGAGATATAGCATTTTTGATAATTCTGGATTGTTTCATGCACATTTTGCACATTACCTATGACTGTTGCTCATGGGGAGAGACCTTTCAGTAAATTAAAACTAATAGAAAAATTATAAGCAACCTACTTGCATACTGTATGCAGCCTGTTGCATGTGAAATTCATGAGCAATAAATATTGTGCTAGTATCATTATTGAACCAAAGAAAGCAAGGTATTTGCAAGCCTTTAAAATTATTACGCTTTTTATGGGTCAAATAGACTCAAGAAATTGTAACAGTGGCTGCTTGGGGTGGCCCAATCTAAATTTTTGTCATGGGGTCCAAGATTCCTGGCGGTGCCCCTGTGTATTATTCACTTATCTTGTGTTATATCATACATAAACTGTGTGTACTTCCTTGAATACATCTCTCATATGGATGCAAATCTGGGAAAGCGCTCAGATTTTCCTGTGTTTTTTATCACCACAACTAATTATGTTTTTATTCGAGTAGAATTTCAGAAAACCTCATAAACAAATTATGCCACTCTGTCTTTTCTTGTTTTCTTTCACGAAGCTCACCATGCTCCACCACTTTGTTTGAACAGCTTAGCAGGCACACAAAACACTGGTTCCAAAATAGTATTTGTTGTAGCCTCCATTAGTTCCTCAGTGCTTCAGAGAGGTAAAGGCGATGCTGAAGATTTTTAGTTGGTTGCTGTTGGAAACTTCACCATAGATCTCAAAATATATTCTAAACATATTCTTCTTCATCAGTGAGGATTAAGTTTCATCCTCACTCATCAGTGAGTAAGTATGGTGATGCAGTTTCAGACTCCCACTGATGAAAATAAATGTTTCAAAAATCATATCACACAACAATGTAAAAACGTTAAAATAAACGAACGGAGCAGAATATTAGGACAAAGCTTTAACAGCACCAACTACAAATCCGATGATCAAGATCACTTGACGCAGCCGCTTTAAGTTATCCTCGAATGTTTCTAGTTTTAGTCTGTTACCTTTCATAAAGAGAATAAGTATATATTTTATTTCATGCTAGAATTTAATAAATTTCTTTGTTTACAAACTCTCATTAGAGATTTATAGATTTTTGTGATAATAAGAATATTCATGACTTCAATAAAAATGTAGTTGCACTCTAATAGATGCCAGTTCTGTGTAGAAATTTTTATAACGTGGCTATCATTATGATATTCTTAATAGTCAAAGAAATAGGCTAATTGAAACTGTAACTTTACTTTAGTTATACATATTTTTTATGCATTGCAATGTGGAAAGGTTTTGAAAGGTTGTGTCTGTGAGTCAAATGATGAATAAAAGTAAACCTGATGACAGGCATTCAGTCGCTGATAAAAGTGGAAATTTTCTTTCTTAACATTGTTGACAGAAGAGGAGCCGAGACATTTTGCTTTCTGTCAGAGAGGGATAATTTGATGAGTGGAGGTTGAGGAACGACTCTCTCTTCGTAAACTGATGTTTCTGCAAACATCTTTTAAGAAGCTGTCTGAGCTGTCTTCTCAGTCTGTTGCCAAGCCACAGGGAGACTTTGTTGTCTTCCATTCGACAGAAGATGCTACATTTGTAGTCTTACCAATTAGCCATGAGTTGTGCTTCTTCACATATTTTAGTTTTAAACATTAGGGATCATGTTTAAAGGTGTTGAATGTTTTTAGCTGTTTTCACAGCTGTAGCAGTCTGGATGATTACTTTGTGAATAATAGGAAATGTGCAGCAGGCTAAAAAAAAAATCTGCACACTCTGTACATCCTGGTTTCAAATCGTTTAAATGTATACATGAAGATCGGTGCTACAAAGCATTTTTTGTAAAAACTAATCACCACTGACACATATTTTTCTCCATGCATTTTCGGATGAACACAAAGAACACCTCACAAGAAGAGTAAAATAAGACCACATGTACACAGTCTTCTTTCCCCTTGTATATATATGTATGAAATATGAAAAAGGAAAAAGAGCAATGTATACATGTCCTTCACATTCTTGCAGTTGTAAAGTATATCAATATATTGTCAGCACTTGAAGACTGAAGTCAAATTCACATTTTGGGCCCACATTTTGGATGTTTACTGTCCCAATGTAGGCTACTATTAACCTTTTAGATTGACCCTGACCTCTACTGAAAATTTGTGAACTAAAAACTGGTTCTGTGCCAGGGAAACAGTTCAAAAGAAACCTGCTATTTTTGAGAAAAGGGTGGTCAAATGTCCAACCAAAATTCTGTCTGAGCCTAGTTGATGGAGACAAAACATGTATGGTTTCTGCACAGTTTCCAACTGACATGCATTTAAAAATCACTGATGTGCACTTTATTATCAGTCTATCTATAAAAATCCTGAAATGGTGATATCTATTTCTAGCTGTCTTTGAGTGAGAAGTGGAATACACCCTGGGCAGGGTTCAGTGCATTGCATAGCAAGACGGTTTTTATTAATGTTTTAATGTTTTTACAGCTCCTTGTTTTATGGATTAACTTGAGAAAACTTGAGAAATACTTGTAGTATTAAAATAAAACCGTTTTTTCTGTATCTTGCCACTCTATAGGGTGTAGAGCTGAACTGATGGTCTAACATTCACCACTATCTGAAGCAACACTTTGATGTTGATGTAGACATGTTTTGTAAGTTTTGAGCTGTAGTCTATGCCATCTTAAAAGGAAGAAAAAGCTTTTCTTTGAATTTTATGTAAAAGAACAGTGCTGAAGTCCAGTTATTTGCTCTACCAATGTAGTATTCAGGTGAAATGAAAGGGTATCCTAATGGAGAGACAAGAGCTTAAGATATTCTGCTGGTGTGATGCAGTGGACATACAACCACAAACACACACACATACATACACGCTCCTTAAATCCATTATGGCCTCAAACTTCAAAGCTCATATTGGTTTTTCAGCAACCCTCCCTGAAAATGGAGAGGGTTGCTGAATGTTTGCAGAGCAAATTCAATACCTCATGTAATGTGCACTACTGCCTTTACTGCTATTCCTAAGTGAAAATGTCTCTCAATATTTTCCTGTCTGTGACTATCCAAAACTTTGCCTGTATATCTTTTTTTTTTTTGCCTATGTTTATGTTTGAGTGCTGATCTCATGACCGCCTTGTATGCTTTTGTCTTCTGTTTTTCAGGTGGAATTTTTGAACAGACAGACGGACCTGTTTCACTTGTTAGTGCAGAAGAACTTGCCTTTAAATTTGCTGTGAATAATATAAACAGAAACAGGACTTTGTTGCCTAACACAACATTAACATACGACATACAGAGGATTAATATCTACGACAGCTTTGAGGCATCAAGAAAAGGTAAGTGATATTATTTATTGAAGGATTTGTTAATGCAATGACATGAACTGTCTTTGAGTGAGAAGTGGGATACACTTTTTGCATTCGACTGCAAAAACTAAGAAATGGATTTGGGAACATTGCCTTATTTAAACAAGGAAACTTTATTATAATGCAATCCAATACTTGTTAAAACAAATCTCGTTCTAATGAGATTAAAAATCTCATTATACCTAAATGTATCTCTCCACAAAACCAAAATATATTATTTAGTAAGAAAGGTCATAACAGTAAACAGCAAAACCTCTTGGGATTTTTAGATGTAGTCTTAAAGAAAGGGTGAGACAAAAGAGAGTTCTGGTGAGTCCCTCCATGCCTTTTTTGTAAGTCGCAATCAGTCAGAACAGTGTAATCTTAAATCTTGTTAAAATAAGAAACTTTGTTGTTAAAAGAATTTATAAAAGTCCACTGGTTTCTGCAGGAAACCTTCTTGTGAAAATGAGAATCGAATCTTATGACAAGACACTTTATTGTTAAAATGAGAAAACAATGACGTGAAAGAACTCATCTTGTTAAAACGACAATGTTTAATCAGAAACTTAATTGTTTTAATAAGAATAATGACATTATGCACCTGAATTTATTTACCAGATCTGGCATCGAGTCGCTTCCTGTAAATCTTAATAAATACGAATATCATTGAAATTGTCGTTCATGTTGTGTACAGTATGCCTTTTAAGTTTAGTTGGAATGTATTATTATGTCGTTATTTGTAAGTCATTTTTGATCAAAGGCCATGAAAAATGCATTAGCAAAAACTGTTAATTAGGTGGTTTTTCCTATGGTTGTGTTTGTCTGGAAGTTTTTATTTCAACTCTAGTTTAAAGGAACAATATCAGAGATCCTTACAAGCACAGTTTTTCTGAAATAAATAACTAACATTTGCATTTAAAATCTTGTATTAGTACCCATTATCAAGCTCTCATCTCTTTCCTTCCATTAGCTTGTGACCAGCTGTCGTTAGGTGTGGTTGCAATATTTGGGCCTTCACATAGCTCATCTTCAAATGCTGTGCAGTCCATCTGCAATGCACTGGAAGTGCCACACATCCAGGTGCGGTGGAAACATCACCCAATGGACAACAGGGACACTTTTTATGCCAATTTATACCCAGATTACTCATCATTAAGCTATGCCATTCTGGACCTTGTGCAGTATCTTAAATGGAAAACAGCCACTGTTGTATATGACGACAGCACAGGTGAGGAGTCTACAAATAACTGCATACTTTTAAACAGAGATGTATGTGTGTAAAAAATCTGCTATGCTCTAGTAAGTAACAGAAAAAGCTGTGCCTTTATTTGTGCTGTTTTCTGCAAGGTCTAATAAGGTTACAGGAGCTGATAATGGCCCCATCAAGGTATAACATTCGATTAAAGATCCGCCAGCTTCCTCTAGATACAGAAGATACAAGGCCTCTTCTTAAAGAAATGAAGAGAAGTCGGGAGTTCCGCATCATCTTTGACTGCAGTCACCACATGGCTGCACAAATTCTCAAACAGGTGAGTTCTAAACTCTTATAGACAGCCTTGAGTATCAAACCAGAAGACTAGACAACTTTAGGTTCCCATGTAACCAGTTCCAGCTTCAGTCACCTCAGCTATGATTCTAATGCTGTGAGATCTGTAAAACATCAGCTGCACATTTTGAAGAAGAGACTGTTCTCCTGTTCTCCAATGGAAAAACAAAATTCAGGTGTTCCATTGCTTGTTAGAGGAACAAAAGCAATATCAGATGCACTCATACATTACCTTGCTGAAACCACTAATGTCTCTTAAACATTTACATATTTTGTCAAAAACTTAAATGTATTTCATGTGAAACACCAACATGAAGTAGTGTAATAATGTAGTGTGGAATGAAAGCAGTAGATACATGTTTTTGTTAGTTTTTTTTTTTTTTTTTTCACAATAAGAGCTTGGACGGGTAACATTTATATATGTATTCAGCCAAAAAATGAAGTGCAATACCATTAATTAAAATCTAGAGCCACAAAATGCCTTTAGAAATCCCTCAATCATAAGCAGAGTCAAGATGTGTGTAAATTATTGTCAGCATCAAGACAACTGTTCTGTGAGGGTCTATATTTTTGTACAGAATATTAATTAATTTTCTCATTTATACAGAAACATCCAAGACACATTAAAATTATATACATGCAGCACTGCACCATTATATTTGCCTCCTTTATATTTTAAGGTTCTGATTAGTCCCAACCTGTTTGACTGTAGATTATATTTCCATTTTGTGAATTTCATTGTTTTGATGCATTCTTTCACACAGTTTATGAATGCAAAGCTGCACACTGAAAATGGATCAATCCAAAAGCATATTTGCATATGCTTTTGCATGCAAAAGCATATGCAACACCATGTTATGCTTGCTTATTGAAACAGAACATAAATATGATTTGATATAAATGTCAGTCAACAGGAAGCTGTCAGCATTTTGCTCTAAGTGATGAATGTGTAGGTGGTCTGATGTTTTATAGATGTCAAGAATAGGCTGTTGAATCCCCCTCCTTTCTACACATTTCTGTCAACTTATATTAACATGCTTACCAAAGGCATCATTGCCAAAAAAAGTTGTTTTTATATAGCTCAGTCCTCTATTGTTGCTGTGATAGAAGATGACATGATCGCTCCTAGCCAGAGCATACATCTAATGCAAAGAAGTCAGTGTCTTGTTCAGTGGAGTCGTGAGATAAAACTTTGAGGCAAAAAAGTTGCACCATCAAGTTTCAGTTTCAATATGACATATTTTAATCAATTCTTTATCCGGAGGTTGTTCATGTGCCTTGGAACAATAAAACATGATGACTTATCACAGCAATTGAATAGATGTTCAATAAGAAAGTTACTCGAGTGACAATTAAATGTTCCAGCTGTGATGATAATAGCAGCAAGCAACAGGTATGTTTTTAGACATTATTATTTTATGGGTTAAACTAGGAAAACCTTTCCTCTGCCATAACACTTTGTGTGATTTTTCTCAATAAGATGAAGCAACAGCAGCAATCAGAACAATCTTTTAGACAGGAACAACCCTTTGTTTGTCCCTCAGCATTGAAACTAGAGCTACTTGCTACAGCAAGTAGCTCTAAAAGACACTGCTACCTGAAAAAAACATTGAGTTTTATTTTTAAAAGTTTTGTACACAGGTCAGGGGTGTACAAAGTCAGTCCAGTTATTCTGCTTGGGGCAACATCTATAAATTGTGGTCTCAGTTTCTTGTCCGTTGCTGACAGGAGTAACACTCATTTTGGTAATCTGCTGCTATGGATCATTTGCTTCTGGATTTGACATGTTGGGCTTTCAGAGAAGGTTTTCTATGTATCTTGGTTGGAAGAAGTGGTTAATCAAGCCAGTAATTAATGTACTGATGTACTTTAATTTGTACATTACCTTGTATAATATAGTTTGCCCATTCTCTTCTGACTTCTAACATCATTAAAAAATGTAATTCGCACGTATGCTGGTCACTAGAAAGTTTTTAAATTATAGACTATTCTCCAAAAAGCCAAGAGATGTTTGTGTGTGAATTCCAACCAGCCTGTCTGCCACCAGCAACTGTGCCATATTCAAAATCTCTAAAATCTGATTTCCTCTGAATTCTACTGCTGTGTTTGAACTTCTGCATGTCATGTACGCCACATCAAAATGCCTAAATGCACTGAATTGCTTTACAACCAGATTCCAAGACAAAATAATAATAATTGAACTTCACTTCTCGTCGATGTATTATTCAAGCATGACAATAGAAAAATAATGTTTTGCAGCACAACAGAGAAAATTATGTAAAAATACCGTCACCTCTCTGTCATCCCTTTGGATTTTCTCCTTGACATGCGATGAGAAAAATGAAAGGCAGTTTTTTTCTTCAAAATCTCATTCTAACTCAGCATGCATTTAGCAAATTTTATTCTATTTCAGATTAAGAAAATGAAAATAATAGGGAGTTATTTACAAAATAACTGCCTTTGTCCTATGGTTTAACCCTATTATTGATGAGAATATTTGAAAAATAATAAAGTAAGTAGATGGTACGTTATTTGAGTCTAAATGGAGATCTTGAATAGTAATAACCTCTGAATGAGTTAAATATATGAAACAAAGTTTCAATGTCAAGTATTTGGCTTGATGTCTTTAGCTGCAGAGGTGAATTTTCTCCACAGAGGCTTAACATCTCTTTTGCATAACCTTGAGTTTTGAGTTAGTTTTTTTTTTCTTTTTATAGCACATGGTACTGTAGAATGGAAAGCACAGACATCATGGTGGATGTGGTTCTTTGAATGTAGATGGAGTGAAACAAGTCAGAGTGACAGAGTCTTTGGATATAATGCAAAGACTAGTAAGCCCACTCTTTTCTCTGTTGCAGTGGCATCAAATGCCCCAAACCATCTGCAAACAGTTTAAACTCAAAACTTTAAAGACATGCTAGTATATGGTAAATCAGCAGTCTGCATATGCTTAAGAAACACTAGCCAGTGGTAATAGAATCTTGCTTGGAAAACTATTATGATAAGAGTCGATAATCTCATTAAAACAAATGTTTACACCATCATTGAGATTTTTATGAAATGCAAACAAATGTATTTGGGATTCTTTTATTGAATCCTTGTGGGATTCAATAAAAGAATCCCACAAGGATTGTTGTAAAGATGCTTTTTGGGATGACGAACACTCTCAAATGACAAAATAATAATTTTCCCTACCCCAGCTCATTTCATTCACACCTTTAATTCCATGTTTTTGTCCTTCCAGGCCCAGACCATGGGGATGATGACAGAGTATTACCACTATATCTTCACCACTCTGGTAATGTATCATGCTTGTTAATGCAAATAGTCTCGTTTGTTCTCATCTCTTCTCCGCTAGATTTTTTCATAAATAGTGGCTAATTGCCAATGGAGTTTGGATCCACTCCATAACATCAATTTAGTTTGACATGTTGGAGGCACAATGGAGTCCCAGGTTTGCAGTGGTAAACACTGCTTCATAGGACCGTCAACAGCGGCCTTCGAAATACCACAAAACACCAGCTTGAGATTAAAAATGGAACGTTTCATCCTCATAAACTGATGAATGTTTGACCTATTGCTTTGGGAATTAAAATAAACAGTTAAAATAATGGGAAGTTTGGTAAAATGTGAAATGAATTATTACGACCTATAAGTAACATCATACTGCAAAAATTACAGACTACAAACATGTAAAGTGCCTTGAATGTAAACTACTTGAAATAATTGGGTTCGTAGCAATGACCTTCTGACCTTGTGTGATAGAATTAAAAAAACTCAACACAAGTGTCCATAGGGTATTGCTTTTTTTCTGTTACCCTTCCTAAATGGGAACTAGCAGATTGAACTGGAATACAAAGCAGCATGCTCTGTGCTGTTCCTTTCACCCTCTGTTACTGTCTTTGTCTTCTGACTCTCTTGAGCGCTCACACTCACTGTCTCTGCAGGCATGGCCAGGCTGTTGTGATAATATGTTATGACACAGAGGTCCAGATATGATGTGTGTCATTTCTCACAGTTGACGGCGTAGTTTTGACATTGTTACATGGTGTGTCATGTTCATGTAGCATCTGTTTTGTTTCAATATGAAAATCTGAAAATATTTTTTTATTCTTGTATTGTCTTTTTGGGTACTCAACAGCATTTTTATGCATTTGTTTTATTGCATTTTCCCAATAATATTTTTTGTACATAAGACATGGGTATCTTGATAGGATCAGTGTTATACCTATCTAAAACTGCAATATGGTGTCTTACTGATAGATATCCCATTAAGAAGATTATACCTGGCAACTTTATTTGATCCAAAGTAATGAATTCTTGCACGGTGTACATGGCAATACAATTTCCTCTCGATGGAGTTCACTGATGTCTATGTTTTATCTTCAGAGGTGAGGGAAGTGCCGACTTATTAGAGCGTGAAAAGGCAAAAGCACAGAGCTATGGGGGTAATAACTTCCTTGTTCTTTGAAATGAAACTGTCATAGCTCTTGTCTTGCCACAGCGATCTTAGAAAGCTTTAAGCTAAGAACTTAGTTATATTTTCTCCTGCTGTAACACTTTTGCATGCTCTCAAAGCATCTTAAACAGGAGAAAAAAATTCTGTATAAGGCAAATGTAAGATCATTTCACCGTTGTTTTGTTTTGCATATGTGTGATAGTTAGTTCTGGTAAAAGTAAACTAGAACTTTTCATAAGTTTTTTTATTTGCCTGACTTTCTGAAATATAAAAAATAGTTACAGAACAAATCACTATTTTCTCTGTAAATACAATAATACTTGTCCATTTCATGTGAAATTCACAAAAGATGTTGGTATTAGTCTCAATAATTGAATTATTACCTAACTTACAGTATATTATGTAAAATAAAACTGACTGGCTTAGTAAAAGAGAATTGAACATCCTTTGTTTTAATACGTTGTAGCAAAATCAAGGTAAAAACATTGTAAAACATTCAATTACAGCTATCCAGTTGGTATAAGAAATACACTCTTAACACTGACAGATTTCAGGCATTTTGTTGTTTAGTATTTTTTGCACTCTCTTTTCTTAATTTGTTAATATGTTTTCCCGTCAGTGCACTTTATTACTCATCATTTATTTGGTTTGCTTAGATTTTTTAAATACAGAACAAAATCATGAGTATGTACAGTGGTGTATCGCAACATCTTAGTTTCAACATCATATTGAAAAATAAAATAGAATAGTCAAAAAATAATGTGTCCGTTAGTTTACTTTCCTAACTTCAAATCTATACCTCAGACATTTTCAGCTGTGGTAATTTACTTCGTTTAGAAAGGAGAAATTATTCTGCACGCTAAAAGAAGGAAAAAGACAGCTTTATCAGAGGGTAACAATGACCATTCTTTAGTGAACGTCTTACATGCTCTCCGTCCCCCGGCTCTTACTCCACAGGGTGCTAATGAAATATCTACGTTCATCCAAATGCCTTTTCCAAGCCCCGCGGCCCAATTTCACATGACGTGTGTCAACATGTGACTTCACACATCAGATACAATCGCTGCTCCAGAAATAACAAAGGCTCAGACTGAATTCATATTTATCTTTGTTGAAGATGCCAAGACATGCCAGGGCTGGATATTAATGATAGAAAACAGATGATTTGTTTTGGTGTTTTCTTTAATTTTCCAAGCTACAAGCAAATAATTAATAATCTCCCAGCCTTAAAAAAAATGCCTTTTTTAAATCCAATTAAAAATTTAAAAAAGTGTGTGGGACGTTTGTTGCTTGGGTTGTTTAGCTATTT